ACACTATCTATCCTCCACTATATATCCTCCATTATCTATCCTCCTCTATCTATCCTCCACTATCTGTCCTACACTATCTATCCTCCACTCTCTATCTTCCACTATCTATCCTCCACTATCTATCCTCCACTATCTATCCTACACTATTTGTCCTCCACTATCTATCCTCCACTATCTATCCTCCATTATCTATCCTACACTATCTAATCCACACTATCTATCCTACACTATCTATCCTATACTATCTATCCTCCATTATCTATCCTCCACTATCTACCCTGCACTATCTATCCTACACTATCTATCCTCCACTATCTATCCTCCACTATCTACCCAACACTATCTATCCTCCACTATCTATCCTCCACTATCTATCCTCCACTATCTATCCTACACCATCTATCCCACACTATCAATCCTCCACTATCTATCCTACGCTACCTATCCTCCACTATCTATCCTCCACTGTCTATCCTCCACTATCTATCCTACACTATCTATCCTCCACTATCAATCCTCCACTTTCTGTCCTCCACTATCTATCGTCTACTATCTATCCTCCACTATCTATCTTCCACTATCTATCGTCTACAATCTATCCTCCACTATCTAACCTCCACTATCTATCGTCTACTATCTATCCTCCACTCTCTATAGTCTACTATCTATCCTCCGCTTTCTATCCTCCACTATCTATCGTCTACTATCTATCCTCCACTATCTATCCTACAATATCTATCGTCTACTATCCTTCCTCCACTCTATATACTCCACTATCTATCGTCTACTATCTATCCTCCACTATCTCTCCTCCATTATCTATCGTCTACTATCTATCCTCCACTATCTATCCTCCACTATCTATCCTCCACTATCTATCCTCCACTATCTATCCTCCACTATCTATCCTCCACTATCTATCCTCCTCTAATTGTCCTACACTATCTATCCTCCACTATCTATCTTCCACTATCTATCCTACACTATCTATCCCACACTATCTATCCTCCACTATCTATCCTACACTATCTATCCTCCACTATATATCCTCCATTATCTATCCTCCACTATCTATCCTCCACTATCTATCCTAAAGTATATATACTCCGCTATCTATCCTCCACTATCTATCCTCCACTATCTATCCTACACCATCTATCCCACACTATCTATCCTCCACTATCTATCCTACACTATGTGTCCTCCACTATCTATCCTCCACTATCTATCTTCCACTATCTATCCTACAATATCTATCCCACACTATCTATCCTCCACTATTTATCCAACACTATCTATCCTCCATTATCTATCCTCCACTATCTACCCTGCACTATCTATCCTACACTATCTATCCTCCACTATCTATCCTCCACTATCTATCCTTAACTATCTATCCTTAACTATCTATCCTCCACTATCTATCCTCCACTATCTATCCTACACAATCTATCCCACACTATCTATCCTCCACTATCTATCCTACACTACCTATCCTCCACTATCTATCCTCCACTGTCTATCCTCCACTATCTATCCTACACTATCTATCCTCCACTATCTATCCTCCACTTTCTGTCCTCCACTATCTATCGCCTACTATCTATCTTCCACTCTCTATCGTCTACTATCTATCCTCCGGTATCTATCCTCCACTCTCTATCGTCTACTATCTATTTTCCACTGTCTATCCTCCACTATCTATCGTCTACTATCTATCCTCCACTATCTATCCTACACTATCTATCGTCTACTATCCTTCCTCCACTCTCTATCCTCCACTATCTATCGTCTACTATCTATCCTCCACTATCTATCCTCCATTATCTATCGTCTGCTATCTATCCTCCACTATCTATCCTCCACTATCCATCGTCTACTATCTATCCTACACTATCTATCCTCCACTATCTATCTTCCACTATCTATCCTACACTATCTATCCTCCACTATCTATCCTCCACTATATATCAAACACTATCTATCCTCCACTATCTATCCTTCACTATCTATCCTCCACTATCTATCCTACACCATCTATCCCACACTATATATCCTCCACTATCTCTCCTACACTACCTATCCTCCACTATCTATCCTCCACTATCTATCCTCCACTATCTATCCTACACTATCTATCCTCCACTATCTATCCTCCACTTTCTGTCCTCCACTATCTATCGTCTACTATCTATCGCCCACTATCTATCTTCCACTATCTATCGTCTACAATCTGTCTTCCACTATCTAACCTCCACTATCTATCGTCTACTATCTATCCTCCGCTATCTATCATCCACTATCTATCGTCTACTATCTATTTTCCGCTATCTATCCTGCACTATCTATCGTCTACTATCTATCCTCGACTATCTATCCCACACTATCTATCGTCTACTATCCTTCCTCCACTCTCTATCCTCCACTATCTATCGTCTACTATCTATCCTCCACTATCTATCCTCCACTATCTGTCGTCTACTATCTATACTCCACTCTCTATCCTCCACTATCTATCGTCTACTATCTATCCTCCACTATCTATCGTCTACTATCTATTCTCCACTATCTATCCTCCACTATCTATCGTCTACTATCTATCCTCCACTATTTATCCTACGCTATCTATCGTCTACTATCTATTTTCCCCACTACTCAAATCCTCCACTATCTTTCGTTTTACTATCTATCCTCCACTATCTATCCTCCACTATCTATCCTCTACTATCTATCCTCCACTATCTATCGTCTACTATCTATCCTCCACTATCTGTCCTCCACTATCTATCCTCCACTATCTATCGTCTACCATCTATCCGCCACTATCTATCCTCCATTATCTATCCTACACTATCTATCCTCTACTATCTATTTTCCACTATCTATCCTCCACTATCTATCCTCCTCTATCTATCGTCTACTATCTATTCTCCATTATATATCCTCCACTATCTGTCGTCTACTATCTATCCTCCACTATCTATCCTCCACTATCTATCCCCCACTATCTATCCTCCACTATCTATCCTCCACTATCTATCGTCTACTATCTATTCCTCCACATCTATCCTCCACTATCTATCGTCTACTATCTATCCTCCACTGTCTATCCACTACTATCTATCCTCCACTATCTATCCTCCACTATCTATCCTCCATTATCTATCCTCCACTAGCTATCCTCCACTATCTACCTCCACTATCTGTCCTTCCCTATCTACCCTCCACTATCTATCCTCCACTATCTATCCTCCACTATCTATCCTCCACAATCTATCGACTACTATCTATCAACCACTGTCTATCCTCCACTATCTATCCTCCACTATCTATCCTCCACTATCTATCCTCCACTATTTATCCTCCTCTCTCTATCCTCCACTTTCTATCCTCCACTATCTATCCTGCACTATCTATCCTCAACTATCTATCCTCCACTCTCTATCTTCCACTATCTATCCTCAACTATCATCCTCCACTATCTATCCTCCACTATCTAACCACCACTATCTATCCACTACTATCTATCTTCCACTACCTATCCTCCACTATCTATCCACCACTATCTTTCCACCACTATCTCTCTTCCACAATCTATCCTCCTTTATCTCTCCTACACTTTCTATCCTCCACTATCTATCCTCCACTATCTATCCTGCACTATCTATCCTCCACTATCTATCCTCCACTATCTGTCTTCCACTATCTATCCTCAACTATCTATCCTCCACTGTCTATCTTCCACTATCTATCCCCAACTATCTATCCTCTGCTATCTATCCTCCACTATTTATCCACCACTATCTATCCACTACTATCTATCCTTCACTATCTATCCTCCACTATCTATCCTGCACTATTTATCCACCACTATCTATCCACTACTATCTATCCTCCACTATCTATCCTCCACTATCTATCCTCCACTATCTATCCACCACCATCTATCCACCACTATCTATCCTCCACTATCTACCCTTCACTATCTATCCATCACTATCTATCCACCACTATCTATCCTGATAAAGCTCTACACAGAGTGAAACATGACTTGATAAAGCTCTACACAGAGTGAAACATGACTTGATAAAGCACTACACAGAGTGAAACATAACTTGATAAAGCTCTACACAGAGTGAAACATAACTTGATAAAGCTCTACACAGAGTGAAACATGACTTGATAAAGCTCTACACAGAGTGAAACATAACTTGATAAAGCTCTACACAGAGTGAAACATAACTTGATAAAGCTCTACACAGAGTGAAACATGACTTGATAAAGCTCTACACAGAGTGAAACATGACTTGATAAAGCTCTACACAGAGTGAAACATGACTTGATAAAGCTCTACACAGAGTGAAACATGACTTGATAAAGCTCTACACAGAGTGAAACATAACTTGATAAAGCCTACACAGAGTGAAACATGACTTGATAAAGCTCTACACAGAGTGAAACATGACTTTATAAAGCTCTACACAGAGTGAAACATGACTTGATAAAGCTCTACACAGAGTGAAACATGACTTGATAAGGCTCTACACAGAGTGAAACATAACTTGATAAAGCTCTACACAGAGTGAAACATGACTTTATAAAGCTCTACACAGAGTGAAACATGACTTGATAAAGCTCTACACAGAGTGAAACATGACTTTATAAAGCTCTACACAGAGTGAAACATAACTTGATAAAGCTCTACACAGAGTGAAACATGACTTCATAAAGCTCTACACAGAGTGAAACATGATAAAGCTCTACACAGAGTGAAACATGATAAAGCTCTACACAGAGTGAAACATGATAAAGCTCTACACAGAGTGAAACATGATAAAGCTCTACACAGAGTGAACATGATAAAGCTCTACACAGAGTGAAACATGATAAAGCTCTACACAGAGTGAAACATGATAAAGCTCTACACAGAGTGAAACATTGTCCCAATTAAAGCTTGCTCTATAACCAGCTTGTTGCAATCAGTAATATTGACTTTGGATTCGTTCGTGAATTGTGTAACTCTAGGGGAGTGGGTTAAGCTGCACTCCAGAGTGCGTAGATTGCGTGAGATGTGCTCTGAAGTGCGTAAGGTGTACTCTATAAGAGTGCGTAGGTTGTACTCACCGGTATTCTGGCGTAGGAGGTGAGTTGTAGCCAAGACTTATCAACTTCACTCTGACTTTCACTATCTTCTCCTTGTAGCTGCACACTGAGCTCTCCGTCGGAGCTCCCTGCGTCGTCCAGAGGTCCATTGAACCCGTACGTCGGGTCGGAAGCCCGTCGCTTAACCCGTTCGGTCTCCAGGGGCTTGTGGGCCCCTGGAACATTGTGGTCTTCAGGAGCCTTTTGGACTCCGTGAACCCTGTGGTCTTCAGGGGCCCTGTGGACCCCGAGAACCTTGTGGTCATCGAGAGCCTCGTGGTCTTCGGGGACCTTGTGGTCTTCGAGAGCCTTGTGGACCCCGGGAGCCTTGTGGTCTTCGAGAGCCTTGTGGGCCCCGGGAGCCTTGTGGTCTTCGAGAGCCTTGTGGACCCCGGGAGCCTTGTGGACCCCGGGAGCCTTGTGGTCTTCGAGAGCTTTGTTGACCCTGAGAACCTTGTGGTCTTCGGGAGCCTTCGGTCTCCCAGGGCCGCGAAGAACGGCTGGTGGAGGGTGAGGTGGAGAATTCGTCAGGTGATTACTGATCGCGGGATGATCGTAGGGAAATGCGTGATCCTCTGTTAGTACTCTCACTCGGCTTTTTAAGAGTTCGTACTCGCGGGTGAGGTAAGAGTCCCGTTTCTGGCCCTGTTTCTTGGCTGTTTCTAAGACCCCTCTTAACGTTTCCAAACGGTTCAACAGGAAGAGGAACGAGGCGGCTTGCGTCAACAAGACGAACAGGAAGACAGACAGGAACAACAGGAGAAGGGGCCGTTGGCGTGTCTCTGTTTCCTGTTGTAGTCCCCGTTGACACTCCGAAGTTAACGGCCGCTTATCACCCATGGTTGTATAAGTTCCGTTGTGCGTTAACGGTGTACCTATTACCGTTAATCTGTTCTCTCGTCACCTGTCACATTATCCGTTAAGACGAGACCGATTTCACTGAATAAAAACAACAGTTAACAGGAGGTAACCCACAAACAGAAGCAGGAAAATAACTACTAACACATTTCAACCTCGATTTGAGGTCCTTATCAGCAGAAAATGACCTAAAACGAACTTTAAGCTTAAATATATATATATATATTTTATATATATATATATATATATATATATATATATATATATATAATATATATATTATATATATATATATATATATATAAATTTATTTTTAACACACTGGTCGATTCCCGCCAAGACAGGGTGGCCCCCCAAGCAGGTGGCCCACCAAGGCAGGGTGGCCCACCAAGGCAGGGTGGCCCACCAAGGCAGGGTGGCCCACCAAGGCAGGGTGGCCCACAAAGGCAGGGTGGCCCACCAAGGCAGGGTGGCCCACCAAGGCAGGGTGGCCCACCAAGGCAGGGTGGCCCACCAAGGCAGGGTGCCACCAAGGCAGGGTGGCTCACCAAGGCAGGGTGGCCCACCAAGGCAGGGGGGCCCACCAAGGCAGGGTGGCCCACCAAGGCAGGGTGGCCCACCAAGGCAGGGTGGCCCACCAAGGCAGGGTGGCCCACCAAGGCAGGGTGGCCCACCAAGGCAGGGTGGTCCACCAAGGCAGGGTGGCCCACCAAGGCAGGTGGTCCACCAAGGCAGGGTGGCCCACCAAGGCAGGGTGACCACCAAGGCAGGGTGGCCACCAAGGCAAGGTGGCCCACCAAGGCAGGGTGGCCACCAAGGCAGGGTGACCACCAAGGCAGGGTGGCCACCAAGGCAAGGTGGCCACCAATGCAGGGTGGCCACCAAGGCAGGGTGGCCACCAAGGCAGGGTGGCCCACCAAGGCAGGGTGGCCCACCAACGCAGGGTGGCCCACCATGGCAGGGTGGGCCACCATGGCAGGGTGGCCCACCAAGGCTGGGTGGCCACCAAGGCAGGGTGGCCCACCAAGGCAGGGTGGCCACCAAGGCAGGGTGGCCCACCAAGGCAGGGTGGCCCACCAAGGCAGGGTGGCCACCAAGGCAGGGTGGCCACCAAGGCAGGGTGGCCACCAAGGCAGGGTGGCCCACCAAGGCAGGGTGGCCACCAAGGCAGGGTGGCCACCAAGGCAGGGTGGCCCACCAAGGCAGGGTGGCCCACCAAGGCAGGGGGGCCTACCAAGGCAGGGTGGCCCACCATGGCAGCGTGGCCCACCAAGGCAGGGTGACCCACCAAGGCAGGGTGGCCCACCAAGGCAGGGTGGTCCACCAAGGCAGGGTGGCCCACCAAGGCAGGGTGGCCCACCAAGGCAGGGTGGCCCGAAAAAGAAAAACTTTCACCATCATTCACTCCATCACTGTCTTGCCAGAAGGGTGCTTTACTCTACAGTTTTTAAACTGCAACATTAACACCCCTCCTTCAGAGTGCAGGCGCTGTACTTCCCATCTCCAGGACTCAAGTCCGGCCTGCCGGTTTCCCTGAACCCCTTCATAAATGTTACTTTGCTCACACTCCAACAGCACGTCAAGTATTAAAAATCATTTGTCTCCATTCACTCCTATCAAACACGCTCACGCATACCTGCTGGAAGTCCAAGCCCCTCGCACTCAAAACCTCCTTTAACCCCTCCACAACATTGGGACACAGCAACAAGGGGACACAGCAACAAGGGGACACAGCAACAAGGGGTCAGAGCAACAAGGGGACACAGTAACAAAGGGACACAGCAACAAGGGGACACAGTAACAAAGGGACACAGCAACAAGGGGACACAGTAACAAAGGGACACAGCAACAAGGGGACACAGTAACAAAGGGACACAGCAACAAGGGGACACAGTAACAAAGGGACACAGCAACAAGGGGACACAGTAACAAAGGGACACAGCAACAAGGGGACACAGTAACAAAGGGACACAGCAACAAGGGGACACAGCAACAAGGGGACACAGCAACAAAAGGACACAGTAAAAAAGGGGACCACAGCAACTAAGGGGACACTGCAACAAGGGGACACTCCAGCAAAAAGGGGACACAGCAACAGGGGGACACAGTAACACGGGGACACAGTAACAAAGGTGCACACATGAAACAAGGGGACACAGCAACAAGGGGACTCAGCAACATGGGGAAACAGTTAGTAACAAGGGCACACAGAAACAAGGGACACAGCAACAAGGGGACACAGCAACAAGGGGTAGACTCAGCAACAAGGGGACACCTGCAACAAGGGGACATCAGTATACACCCCCCCCCCCCCAAAGGGGGACACAGCAACAAGGGGACACAGCAACAAAGGGGACACTAACAACAAGGGGGGCCACAGCAACGAGGGGTCACAGCAACAAGGAGGGCACAGCATCATAAGGGGACACAACAACAAGGGGGCTCAGCATCAAGGGGGCACAGCAACAAAGGGGGCACAGCACAAGGGGACACAGCAACATGGGTGGCATCAGCAACAAAGGGGGACCACAGCAAACACAGGGGACACAGCAAACAAGAGGAACAGCAACAATGGGAACAGCAACAAGGGGACAACAACAACCTAGGGGACTCTGAATCCAAGGGGACACAGCAACAAGGGGACACTGCAACAAGGGGACACAGCAATCAAAGGGGACTCAGAACAAGGGGACACAGCAACAAGGGGACACAGCAAACAAGGGGACACTGCAACAAGGGGACACACAACAAGGGGACACAGCAACAAGGGGGACACAGAAGCAATGGGACACGAGCAACAATGGGTCAAGCAACAAGGGGGGTGTGTCGGTCACATATGGATATGTGGTAGACTCAGATGAGTCTAGGTGATGTTTAGGAAGTATTGATTCGCTTCACTAGAGGTTGTCAGGAAGTGGAACAATATGGATGTGATGTAGTGGTGCAGGATACTTATATTGCTTTAAGAAGAGGTATGATAAACTATTATTGGAAATGCGACGAGATAGACTTGTAGCCACCAGGAAGAGGCGGGGAGGGTCGAGGAGCAGATTTTGAATCGACACCTACATTCTAATAAGAGTGAAGTAACCATTACACACACAACACACACACACACCACAACCTCACACACACACACACACACAACACACACACACAAGAAAAAACACCACACACACACACTCACCACACCAATACAACACACACACCACACCACACACAACACAAAAAACTCCAAAGCCACACACACACTACACACACAACACACAACACACACACACACATCACACCACACAAACACAAACACACATCACACACACACACACACAATACACACAACAAAACACACACACACACACACACACACACACCCACCTACACACTCTCCACTGTGCTCTAAACATTGACACAAACAGTAACACATTCCATAACCACCTTCACCTTAGCCATCTACCCCTCCCCCAAAAACACCTATACCCTCCCCAAACAGTCCTAACCCCGATCAACTACCTCCCTTCCCTCCATTAAAACCATCCTCCCCCTCCCCATACAACTATCCATCCCCTCTCTCCCCCAAACCATCTAACTCCCTCTCCCAACTATCTTACCCCTCCAATAACCATACCTCACCTTCACCCATAACCATCCACCCTCTTCATACATTATTCCCATCCCCCTAACCAGGATGAGGACAAGGGGCTCCAAGGAGAATCTGAGAGGGATGGAATGGGAAGGTTGAGCTCAAAAAAGGGAAGCTAGGATGATGGGGATAAAAAAAAATAATATATGGAGACTAGATGAGTCTGAAAGGAAGATGGGAAGAGAGGTTAGCAGCAGAATGCAGAAGGTGGAAGCAACAGGCCACAGCAGCACAGAAATCCAAGGAGAGAGAGATTAGAAGAGGGAGCTGTGACATCTGAATAACAGCACAGAGACATAGTTTTTACACGAGTAGCATTCAGGCAATGGCTACATCGAACAAAGAACCAACAGGTCCGAAGGAAGATGGTAACTAAATGTATGCGAGGGTACTGTCTAAACCCACAGGGGGCCAAACAAAGACAGGGAGCACACTTGGACATAAGGACGAGGTTGGATGTCATATGAAGGAACTAGGACATGTGCAAGGACCTTACCAGATTACATGTGGGGCCAAGGAGCAGTGAGCAGGACAGGATAAACCAAGAAGCACTAGGTGGCCAAAACGAGTGAAGGCGACTGAAGGAAGGAAACCTCACGGGAAGGAACTAAAACACATCGAGGATGCAAGGGAGTCACAGTGGGAGGTGGAAAGGTGTGAGATCCGTTTTTTTGTCTATGGGCTAGGACGAGCTAAAGGGCGAAACTTATGATGATAAGAATGAGGAGGACGGGAAAAAGCGATTTGAAGACAATCTTGAAGGTGATAGGCGTGGGGAATGACCAGGTGGCAAATTTTCGGAGAATTGGGTGGTTAACAAGAAAAGGAAATCGGCCTCTCAATGTAATTTTCAACAGGACAGAATCAACCCGAACCATGATCCTGCAGGTGGGTATGCAAGGGCCTGAGAGGCATGTCAGGAGTTACGGAAGTGTGTACTCCGATCGAGACAGAACACAGGACGAAAGGAGACATGACAAGAGAGATTCAAAAACGTAAAGGAGAAAATGGGAGTCAGGATAATGAAAAAGAGAGCAGAATAACCCAGGATCAAATGGGGCAAGGACAGGCGCACCCCAGAAAACAAATGCAGCATATAGGTCTCCAGCCACAACACCCCATGGCAAGATGATCATTCAATCCAACCATACACACACCCGATCTCTCTGTTCCCACCACCACGCACCACAGTTACAGTATTAGAACAGAAGTTGATGGTTTGGTACAACAATTGCAGTTGGATTAACGAATAAACATGAGGAATGGCAAGAAGATATCCATGAGAAGTCCCCAGACATCATAAGCAGTTTTACAGGAAACAAAATCACGGAGACAATAACTGATGCAAATCTTCCACCCAGGAGACCAGATCATTTAGGAAAGATAGAAGGGGCAGGGGGGGAGGTCGGTGGGGTTGCTCTGCTCGTAAAATACAGATGGA